ATCAGTTGCCTTTGTCTAGGGCATCTGTATAAGTGGACCCTTCCCTAACCCCCCACCCCCGCAAAGTCAGAGGCATCTTTTATATCTTATTTTGTTTGCTTTCTGGTTTATGCTTCTGGAACCTTAAATACGTTCTTGCTCTTTGACATGAAGCTATTTGCCTACATTTCTTCGATTTTCTTACAGGTTTTACCTTTCACATTTAGATACTGAGCCCACTGGACATCCACCTGTATATATGATGTGAGGCAGGGTCCACCTTTAGTTTCTCTCCATAATAATAAACCAGCTTCCCCAATTGCATTTGCTGAACAATGTCCTTTCTCAGTGCGCTTAGCTGGGACTCTGCGCTTGCCATAGATAAGATTGTGTGTGTGTGTGTGTGTGTGTGTGTGTGTGTGAGAGAGAGAGAGAGAGGGAGGGAGGGAGAGACTGAGCGTTCATGTTTCTGGTCTCCGTCCTGCTGGTCTGTTTTTCCGGCTCCTTCCTCCTGGACACTGCAGTTCTTGCCACAATGGCTCTGCGGTGTGTCTTACTCCCCGGCAGGATGAGTGTCCCTTGGAGCTTGTTTTCAAAATTGGTGCAGCTGTTTGCAGATCTTTACTTCTCCTCCCATCTTAGCAGCGTCTGAGTTCCTCCTGCAGAAAGCATTTGCACACCTTCGATTGGAGCTGCACTGGGTTTCATTCACGGGGGAATAATTGGACCTTGGAAATGTGACGTGGGAACTTATCTCTTCATCTCTTTCACGTATTTTAAGTGTCCTTTAATAGGATTTTCAAAAATTATCCTTAAAGAGACCGTGTGCTTAATTTGCAGTTGTGAATGATTTTATTTCTGTTTTCTGTTCAGTTGATTAATGTCAGAGTAGAAGGATTTTTTGTGAGCTTTTTGTGTATCTGGCAATCCTGCTAGATTCTCTTAGCTTCTCTGAATTCTACTGAGTTTTCTAGGAAAGTGGTACCAGCTCTAAATCTGGAGAGTTTTGTCTCTTCTAGTTCTTACAGCTCCTTTCTTTGTCTTGTGTGTTGCCTTGGCTAGGACCACCAGCGCTGTTGAGCAGGAGCGGTTATGACCTTGACCTGCCCCAAACTTAAACGGAATATTCCTTAAATTCTCTGTTAGGTAACATGTTGCACGAGAGTTTTACCCACTTACAGAAGGTTCCTTCTACTTTTCGTTCCCTGAGAATTTCAATCACACGTCGAGATCTAGCTTCATCAGATACTTCCTAAAAATTATTCAGACGTCACACAGCTTCCCTCTCCCCGGTCTGATAAAGGTCGCAGATGAAAAGGATGCATTTTCTGGTGCTGAATCATCCTTCTATTCCCAGGATAAATCTTACTGGATTTTGTGTAGCACGTTTAGTTTGTTGTTTCAAAGTGTTGTCCATGCCATTTGCAATTTAAGTTCATTAATGTATAATTTGTCTTCATAGTTTTTTTTTGCCATTTTTATTACTTCATAAATCACTATTATATGTATAGTTATTTCCCCTTTTTTATTCAGTATTTTACTGGCATCTCCCCTCTATGTGTCAATCTTGCCAGAAGTTTGTCTGCCTTGGTTAGCCTTTCCCAAAAACAGGGTTTTATTTATGTTTATCACTAGAGAGAGAGAGAGAGAGAACACGCACTTTCACCTGCTGGTTCACTCTCCACATGCCCACAGCAGCCAGGGCTGGGCCAGACCAAAGCCGGGAACCAGGAACTCCATCCGGGTTTCCCACACAGGTGGCAGGGATCCAAGTACCGGCGCCGTCACCTGCTGCCTCCTGGGGTTTGCGTTAGCACCTGTTTGGGAGCAGAGGTGTGACCCGATCCCAGGCTCCCCGACATGGGATATGGGCGTCTCAAGCCAAAGCTTGACCCACCGCACCCCGCGCCAGCTCTGCCGTGCCGAGTTTTTGCTCTGGTATTTCTAACACACAGCACGGCAGCCCCGCCTCCGAATCAGCAGCTTCAAGACCCTGCAGCCAGAAACACCTGAGTTTCGCGCTCTGCCACCCGCCAGCTCCATGACCTTCGACACCGTACTTTGCCCTGCTACATTTACTTCCTTGCCTGTGAAATGGGAATCCGAGTCCTTCGTGGTAGAGCCGTGTGCAGGGCAGATTAGAGAGCGCACCTACAGCACGCGTGATGGCGTGGCGTGCACCGGAAGTCCTCAGCGCAGGTGCAGCCCGTATTAGGGTTCTGCAGAGATGGACAGCCAGCAGGAGTGAGCGTGCGTGCGTGTGTGTGAGTGTGTGTGAGTGTGTGTGTGTGTCACAGAGATGGTAAGGAATTGCCTCATGGGACTGTAGAGCTGCAAGGCTGAGCCCCATGATGTCGGCCAGCGGTCAGAGACCAGGAGTTGCCGCCCGGGGCAAGGCGGGCTGCTGGCAGGGTGCCCCGAGGCTCCGAGGGGCTCGGGTCAGCCTCTGATCTCTTCAGTGGTGGGGGGAGGCCCACAGCAGCGTGGAGGGTCTTCTACCTTGCTTGAGGTCCACTGATTGAAATGTTAGTCTCATCCGGAATACACCTTCATAGAAACATTGGGAATCGTGATTGGCCAAATATCTGGGCGCCATGCCCCCAGCCATAGGTCACACACACAGTTAGCCATCACCACGCCCATATGCCGTGTCCTTGGCCTGCTAGGCATGGGCCACTGTGTGCGGCAGGCGAGGTGTCCCACCGCACGGGCCCGGGCAGCCCAGCTGGCTTCTCCGCTCAGGGCATGTGGTGCCCCGAGCTTCTGTCCTCCCTGCCTCTCCTTGCTCGGTGAAGTCCTTCCCTCCCCGGCCAGAAGTTCTCTGTCTCCCTCCCTCCTTCCCCTCCCCTTTCCCCCCACCCTTGCCACAGTCAGTCACCTGTGCTGCTCCTCGTGTTTATCTCATTTACCTTACTCCTTAGTTATTTTGTGCAGCTGTCTTATCATCCACCCTGACTAACCCTATAAAGTGAGTATTGTTGCTTTTCCAGCTCCGGGTCCTCCCCCTGCCTGTGGGCTTGGCAATCACTCCCACCCAAGAGCAAACGTAAGGGTCAAAGGTGGGGAAGAGGCCTCCGTGAAGGGGTGGGGGTGGGTGCAAGGGTGGGGGTGGGGGCGAGAGTGGGGGTGGGGGCACAGTATAGCCAGCGTAAAGGGGGTGGTGACGGTGACGGTGAGGGTGGCTTGTTGAGCTGGCCACACTGCCAGGCACTGCGCTCGGTATTCTCACGGTCTGTCGCGCTAAGTCTTCGTAACAACCTTTGGAGACAGGTGCTATTATTAACTCCGAGGAAGCCGGGCCACAGACAAGCCAGCCAGCCCTGGGGTTGGAAGACCAGGCCTGGCGTGCCTGACCTCAGAGTCTGCACTTGGGCTGTGATGGGGGGCAGACTCATTCCACCCTATCTAGCAGCCACCGCCTGGTGCGACCATGCCAGGGACGGCATCTGGTGCTTGGCACATTAGCCAGGGAAGCCCCACTTTGCAGATGGGAAGACAGAGGCTCACCCAAGGCCACAAATATAGAAAGTGGGTGGATGCAAAGTGAAGACCGAATCTCGCACTCCCAAGCTGCATCACATGTGTCCCACGCGCAGTGCTTGGGGCCGGTGGGGAAGCCCTGTGGCAGAAGCCACACAGGCAGATCTGCCTCAGGCTGCCGGGGCTGGCCTTCCGGGAAGGATCAGCGGGACCAGCTCCCGCAAGGGAAGAGGCCTGCAGCAACCTGCGGATGGGTGGGAGGGGCTTGGACACCTGGTGGCCGGGGGATCCCAGCCAGCTGGAGCTCTGCCCAGACCTGTGCTTGGACAGCAGAGCTGTGCACAGCTGCGGGGAGACCTGGGCGCCGGGACCTGCTGAGAAAGCGCTGTTCCAGCAGGTCCCCGCCTCGGGAACGAGCCCGCCACTCCTCCCCCGGGCTCCTTCCTCTGGGGCAGCAGGAGCCATGCCCCAGCCTCCTCGCTCTCCCCTGGTTGGCTCTGAAGAGCAGCTGGAAAATCCCTGGGGACGGGGGCGTGTCTGTGGGGAGCAATCCGGACTAGACTAAGTTACTCGAATTAAGACTTATTCTATGCATCTGCTCTCCCACAATGTGGCACTGGGAGAGAAGTAAACAGCTTCCGCACAGCTGCCTCCAGTTCAACTAATAAACTGTAGGACTTGCTCCTGATTGGAGGAGAGCGGCGTGCTCGGCGTGTGGGCAGCCGAGTTAGGATTGGCGGAGGAGGACTATAAAGGAGGAGAGAGACGGCATGCATCAGGAACATCTATGGGGAACATCTAAGGGAACCCGTGCAGCCCCCGAGAAAGCTGGCCGGCGGTGTGCCGCTCCCCTGCGGAAGTGGGGAATGCGGCCAGGGGGAACTGCCCTTCCACGGAGGTGGAAGGGATAGTAGCCAACCCGGGAAGAACCAGCAGCAAACCCGGGGAGGGCCGAGCAGACGAAAGAACAGCGCAGGGTCCTGTGTCATTCCCCCATGAAGACGGGGAGCGACATAATGGTGCCGTGACTCGGATATGAAGCCTAGGCAGGGCTTAGTGTCGTTCCTCCACGAAGAGGGGGAGCGACAGTGTCCAGGGTGAAACCTGCACTGGGGTGGATGGGGAATGGTGCGAATGCTGGCTGTGTGTGTGTGTGTCATGTAACTACTGACTTTTTACTTGAGAGGCGGAGAGAGAGAATGAGTTCTCATCCGTTGTTTCACTCCCCAAATGAATGGGCCGGGGCTGGCCAGGCTGAAGCCCAGAGCCCAGTCCAGGTCTCTCAGAAACCCGACGACTTGGCCATCCCAGCTGCCTCCCAGGCTGCACATTAGCAGGAAGCTGGAACCCGGCACGGCTGGGACTTGAACCCAGGCACTCCAGGGTGGGCTGCGGGCGTCCCAGGCAAGGTCTTAGCTGCTGCAGCAAAATGCCTGCCCCCAAGTGGCGTGTTTTACTCGTGGCCCCCAGGCCCTCTCTGGGCAGATGTGTCCCCGGGGGTGCATGGTCTCTGTGGGCATCAGCGGTGCCCTTCCCACTAGGTCATCGCTGTGGTCATGGACCTCTTCACCGACTGCGACATCTTCCAAGACGTGGTGGACGCCGCCTCGAAGCGCCGGGTCCCCGTGTACGTCATCCTGGACGAGGCCGGAGTCCCGTGCTTCCTGGAGATGTGCCAGGGCCTGGAACTCACCGACTTCCGCATCCGGGTGAGAGGCCCCACCGGGGCGGGAGAGGCGACGGAGGCTCCCTCGGCCCCTTCCTCCGGCTCTTCCTCCCGCCCCCTCTCCAGTTCAGGGGGCTCTGGTGAACTTCACAATCTCAACCGCTCTCCCTCTGTGTGAAGCCTTGCATCACAACTGGTAACTACTGAATTCCACATCCAGGCTGCACTTCATCCCAAGGCTGCTGCCGCCGAGGGAGGCAGGCTTGGCCTCGTCCTGGGGTGCTCGGCCCACAGTCCCCCAACCTCACTGTTGGGTTCAAAGTCCAGGGCCGTGGTTCTCTTCCTGGGCAGCTCTGGGGACAGGCAGTGGCCACCCTGGCTTGTCCAGGCCCAAAGCCAGACTTGATGGCTTCCTCCCGCTCTCCACAAAGAGTCCCAGTGCAGGAAGTCCAGCGAAGGCAGAGCCAGCAGGCGGGGTTCAGGGGCGGGAGCGCTCCTCATCTGCCTGCCCCCACTGGGTGACAGCGCCTCCTCCTGTCCCCGACAGAACATCCGTGTCCGCTCTGTGACTGGCGTGGGCTTCTACACGCCCACGGGGAAGATCAGGGGGGCCCTGTCATCGAGGTTCCTGATGGTGGACGGTGACCAGGTAGCCACGGGATCCTACAGGTGAGTTGGGGCAGGTCAGAAAAGGGGCCCCGGGGCCTTCTCACAGCCGCCATCCAGGGAGGCGCTGGGCCAGAGCCTGCACCCTCGTGAGTCTTAGGAGATGGCCTCTGCCCCGCGGCCCAGCACAGCCTCCTGCCCGGTGAACGGATCATTCTGGAAAGGGGAGCATCCTCACATAGCATTCGCACTGCCTGCCCTTCACGGTCCCCAGAAACTGGCCGCCCGTGGAGGCTTGTCCTTCGCTGGGCCGGGCAGCGAGTAGAATGGCTCAGAGCTGGGAGAGAACTCTGAGGGCCAGGCGTGGAGGGGAGGCTGCTGGACTCGTTGTCGAAGAGCCCGGGTCTGTGGCGGCTTCTGTGTGGCCTCTGCCCTCCAGGCGACCTGGAGTGCAGCTGAGGAGGGGAGGCTGAGCACGTGGCCCGATGACTAAGCGGCCCGCGTCGTCTCACACGGGCAGCCGTGCCGGCAGCAAGTGCTCTACAGATGCAGGGAGGAAGCGGGAGGAGTGGAGCAGTACCAACAGCAGCCGCGGCGGCAGGCGCGCGCGCCGTTCCCACGCCCGGCACTTTCCATCAGCTATAACGGCCTCCAGAGAGTGCGCGGGGATGCACGTTATGGGGAAAAAATAACACTCACTTTAAAGTGTTTTTTTGCACTAAAATAAACTTATCTTTTAATTCCGTTTTCCCTGTGAGCCTTTTGGAGTAGCCTTCTATTCAGGCAGAGCCTCAGGACAGCTCTGTGGACCTGGTGCTGGGTGTGAGGCGCACACCGGGAGCAGGGGACAGGTGTGAACCCAGCCCTGCCGTCCCGTGTCCCTTCCCAGAGTCCACTGCCACCTGCTTTTGCATTTGAGGCCCAGACCTGGAGAAACAGGAGGCTCTGGGTTGGTCAAGGGAGAGCGGGGAGGCCGGCCACAGCCGCGTGGAGGTGGCTGCCCACAAGGCGCTGTGTTCCGCATTTCTGTCGCCGTGTCTGCAGCTTCACCTGGAGTTCCTCCTGCGTGGACAGGAACCTCCTCCTCCTCCTGACGGGGCAGTACGTGGAGCCCTTCGACGTGGAGTTCCGGGAGCTGTACGCCATTTCCGAGGAGGTGGACCTGTACCGGCACCTGGGACTGGCGGGAGGCGCCGGCAGACTGGGCCTCAAGTACTCCTCCACCGTGGCGCGCAAGCTCATCAACCCCAAGTACGCCTTGGTGGCGGGCAGCCGCCGGCCGCCGGGAGAGATGATGCGTCGGGCCGTGCGGCAGCAGCAGGAGGCTGGCGGCCACCCCGTGGGGCAGGAGGAGGCCAGCGGAGGTGGCGAGTCGGCCTGGCGCCTGGAGAGCTTCCTCAACGACCTGGTGACGCTGGAGCAGGTGCTGCCCCCCGTGGAGCCCATGCCCCTGGCAGAGCCACGCCGGATGGTCTCCCACATACACGTGGACCTGAAGCCCCGATCCCGGAACAGCAAGGGGGAGGCTGCCAACGGGGAGGCCACCGTGGCCAAGGAGGGCAAGCGCTTCAGCGGCAGGCTTTTCAGCCAGCGGCCCAAGAGGCCTGCAGCACCCAACGGCACAGCCGGCTCCCTCTCCACCGAGACCCTCACCAACAGGGAGATTCGGGCAGGGAAGAGGCCCAATGAGGGTTCCAACGGTGCTGACATCTCAGGTGAGCCCCCTGGCCCTGTCCCCGGCCCTGTCCAGGGGCACTGCCTCCTGTCTGCACGAGGGCAGCCTGCCGGCACCGAGGGAGCGAAGGCCCTGGGGTCCGAGGGTCCTGGGGCCCCGTTGCAGCTCAGGCCTTTCTGGGAGTCTGCGGTTCTGAGTTTCCTCTTTGAGAGTGGGAGTCATGAGCCAGGGAGCACCCAGCGTCCAGGGGACGGGAAGCGCTCGGTGCCTGCTGGAGGCGGAGGCTGGGCCCCTGGCTCTGATTTGGGGCTTTTCCTAGCAAGCATTGTCGGGGCCTAATCACCTGCGGTCAGGCTGTAGCCTGGTCCGACACACACACCCTCACCCAGGCCCCGCCCCGCTTTGCCATGTCTGCTGTAGGTTTGGTTTGCCGTGCTTCTGATCAGTGGGTTTGCCGTGCCACTCACCCTCGGGGGTGGTGGCCGTGGCTGCGTCTTTCTTGCCATCCTCTGGGGTCCCCCGGAGGCCCTGGCCTTGATCTCCTCCAGAGCAGGCTCCGGTGTGAACTCTGGGGAGGTGGTGGTGACAGCCAGAGTGCTCGGTGCCCTCCGCACCTCGCCACCCTTCAGTCCAGGGCAGGCAGAAGGTTCTGTGCTGGACTTTTTTTTTTCATGCGTCTTTATTTTCATCTGATTGAACGGGAGGGAAGGGGGGGGGGAGAGAGAGAGAGGAAGAGGGAGAGAATCTTGTGTCTGCTGGTTCACTCCCTTTATGGCCACACCAGCTAGGGCTGGCCAGGCTGCTCAAGAGCCCGGAACATCCAAGTGCCTGGGCAATCCTCTGCTGCCTCCCCCAGGGACAGGAAGAGGCGGGCAGCTCAGAGCAGAGGAGCTGCGCTCCTGCAGGGATGTGGGCATCGCTGTGCCGTGCCGCCTGCCGCCAGGGCTGAGGGGCTTGGCACTGATGATGCCTGGGCCCCTGACTGGCCAGGCAGGGGAGGGCAGAGCCTGAGGTCTCACCCTGGGCAGCCCGAGGCCTCCCAGAGCCCATTTGTCCCCACACTCCTGATCGGGAGTGGAGGGAGAGCCAGGACCCCAACCACCCTCCCCTCTGCTGACCCCCCAGCATGCCCGTCTGTGCTTGTTGGGTAAACTTGCTTCTTTTGAGAGCAGCTCAGGGGTCTCAGTGGGCACGGTGGGGTTTCCAGGGCTGCACCGCTGGCCCGAAAGCGACCTAGCACCTGGGAAGGCGCCCTGGCCGTGCGGAGGTGGCAGGTGGAAGCTGGGAGAGGTGAACTAAACGGTCCCAGGGCTGGGGAGTAGTGGTGGGGCCAGGATTGAAGGCCAGGCCTGGGCGAGGGGCGAGGGGCCTGCGTTCTGTGTGAGAGCCCCTGGCTCCCGGCATGTGCCGCTACCACCGCTGTGCACACACACTGCCCCCTCCCCCTGCTGTTTGGAGGCGGGTTGCCATGGAGAACACCTGGCAGGGCAGGGGGAGGGCGGCCCTTTCCCGAGCCCCAGCTGGACTGGGCTGGATGTGGAGGGGAAGAACAAGCTCCTCCTGCAGCCCCTCACCCTGAGGTGCTGTTTCCATAGAAACGTGGGGCCCGTCTTGCTCTCGGCATCCAGTCCCTGGTGGCGTGGATGGCTGGGGTGGTGCCACCTCTGCTAACTTCCCTGAGTGTTTGTCCCCAGCCAGCGGGCTGACCAGCCTGCACACTGGGGGAGCTCCTCTCCAGTGTGCCTGGCACAGCACAGAGTGAGGGACAGTCAGGGCAGGAGTGCACCTGCTGGGACAGCCAGCATGGCCCGCCTCCACCCCCCACCCCATCCTGCAGAGGAAACCCAGGGCAGGCATCTAGCCCTGGGGTGCACGCTCCCCATGAGGCCGTCCGTGTCCCTCGGAGGCCAGCAGGAAAGGCAAGAGCACCCTGTCCTGCTCTCTGCCTGCCGGCCCCTCTCCAGGGGAGGCGTCCTCTTCCCACAGTGAACTTCCAGAACACCATCAGGACAGGCACCGGCGGCTCTCGGCTCACCATGCATGGCACCCCACACCCTGGGCACAGCCTCCACCCCGCTCCCGGAAAAGGAAGGGGTGTGGCTAGGGAGGTGTCCTGAAGCCGCTTTGCTGTTGGTGACTGTCTGTCTCGGCAGCCCCTTGTCAAGAGAGAAGCTGGGCTGATGACAGGGAGGGGAGAAGAGAGGAAAACAGACCAGGCCGAGAGCTGACAGCGGTGAGGATGTAGCAGGCGCGGGCCGGCAAGCCCAGGTGCGGCCGCAGGGGGCCCCCTTCCCGCTTGGGCTGGGAGGTGGGAGCTGCCCGGCGATTTGAAGGCTCACAGCCCCCTCTAGTGGCAGAAGCCGGGCACGTTTTTCCTTTTCCTTTTTTCTCCCCTAAGGAGACTGCGTTCCTGGGCTGGATGCACTGGGCCAGTGTCCTCCTCCCCCATAGGCCAGGCCCCCCGGGGGCAGTCAGTGGCCCCTGGGCTGGACTCAGGAATCTGCACCCAACCACTCGAGAGTGACACAGCGGGTACCAGACGGGACCCCAGCTCAGGATTCTCCAGGCGAGGGTAACTGGACCTGACACCCCACCCTGCACTTCTGAGTTCCAGGAGATGCGTTCTAGATGCTAACACTCAGAACTCGGTGGTCCTCATGACCACCTGCCTGTCAGTGGCATCTTACACACGAGACCCTGGAGACCCTGAGGCCAGTATGTGTGTCCAGGGCCTTCTGCAAAGCACCATGGCTGTCTCTGAAAGTCTAGGGTCAGACATCTGCAGCACTGTCAAGACTGGAAGAGCCCGGGGGTTGGTGGGGGCTGAGAGGAAGGGGGGGGGATGCACCCCCGGGGCAGCAGCCTCCCTGAGCCCCTCCCACAGCTCCCCAGCAAGCAGCGTGGTCTGGCTCCATAGAGCGGTGGCCGCTGGGCTCCTGGATTTGGGGGCCAGGTTCTCTGGGTCACTCCTGGGGACCGGAAGCCTCAGTTCTCTCCTGGAATCCAGGTCCCCATTGGGTGTGCTTCCTGGGAGCACACCCAGGTGCTGCACACCAGGGAGGTGCTTCCTGGGCTCAGAGCGCGGAAGGACCCGTTCCAGGCTGAGTTGTCTACTCAAGTGCTGTCCTGGGAAGGCAGGGTTTCCGAGTTCCTGCTGCCCTGGGGTGGGGGGCAGTGCGTGTCCCACCCGGCTCTAGAGGAGGCCAGGCGTCCTTAATCCTGGCAGACATCCGTGCCTCTCCTTCCAGCTTCTCCTGGGCCCAGTGAGGGCAACGGACATGCACATCCCCCCGTGCAGCTCGGCCGTGCCCGCCCGCTTTCATATTAGTGGCAACGCAGCTGTGAGATGCCCACTGTGTCCAGCCACTGACCAGGTCCTGCTACAGCGGTGAACAGAACAGAGCACCCTGTGGGCATGCAGGCGAGGGGATGGCCATTTTATGAAGGGTGGTCTGGGAAGGCCTCTCTGACCAAGGAGGGATCTGAGTGAGGACTTGAACGCAGAGAGCCACGTGGGCTGCTGGGGGAGGAATCTTCCAGACAAAGCCCCAAGATCTACAGGAAGATGCAACCCACTGTCCCCGTCGTGACTCCCACGTCAGTGTCCCCTGCACCGCAGTGCCTGCCTGCTGAGCAGGCTGACCAATCGCAGGTCCCGAATCCCCCAGGCTGTCCCCGTAGCCCCGCCCTCCTGTCATTTAGTGGCCCTGCCCTCTTGCTTCACACCCCCATTGGCAGTCTCACTTCAGTGCCCCTCCCCTTTGAAGACTGACTTCTATCCTAAGCCGCCTTTGGAGCACCCACACCCATGCCACCCGTGGTTTGTAGGGAAAAAATGGAGGGGCTGTTTATGTCCTCATTGACCTGAGCGAGTGATTCACCTGCACGCGGGAGGAATGATGGGATGCAAAGGATTTTTCCCCTGCTTTCGGTGGCCTTCCAAGCAGCGCGGGGTGCAGTCCTGGGAAGCAGCTGGGGCCTCGGGGCCTTGGGAAGCTGCTGCCGCTCCGGCGTCAGGATGGCCGAGATCGATTTGCTTACCTGGCTCCAAATGCAGCTGCCCCTCGGGAGGCACTCGGTTCTGCTTAGTAGGCCAGGCAAGTAGAACGAGCCGCGGAGGAGGGGAAGCGGGGACGATGCGGCCATCGCGGCAGTGAGGGACTCCGGGACAGCAGAGCTCAGTGCCTTCGGCAGAGCCGGACATGGCCCTCAGTGCCACCGCACAAAGTGACTCGGCTCCCCTCCCGGCTCCAGGCGCGGCAGGGCTCGTGGGCAGTTCAGAAGACCTGGCTCTGTCCGGCCCAGACCAGGCTGTGGTTAGAGGGGGCAGACAACGGACACAAGCAGGAGCTTTGGTGGTCACGGTGGGGGCTGGGAGAAGGGGGGAGGGGCTGCTAGAGCCGGGTCCCTACCCCAGGCCTGCCCAGTGTGTCTCTTGCTAACGGTCCAGAGGAGGAGGCAGGTGCCACCCTAATTAAATTCACAGCTGCGGTGATACCGGAAGGTGGCGTGAGCCCAGGGGAGACAACCCTTGCTGTGCGCAGGAGCTGGCAGGAAACAGCTCGGCCTCTGCGGGGAAAGGCGGCCGCAGCACAGCAGCCTGACACCTCCAGGGCCCCTGGGTGTCCGCTCCGCCTCGGCAGCGCCCCTCCTCCCCTCCAAGGTCAGAGAGCAGGAAGCTGGCGGCAGAAACTGCTGGCCTCATCTTGGGATTGGACAGGAAGTTGAAAGGCATGGTGGAGGCCTGGGGGGTAGGCAGCTTTCTCTCCCCCCACCCCTGCCCTCAGTGTGGCGTGCGCCTCCCCCACGTGCACCTTAAAACTGCAACCCCGAGCCCCCGATTTGCCGGGGCCTCGCTCAGTCCTGACGCTTCCAGAGGCGCGGATTTTCCCAGAGTGGGCGCCCTGCTTGGCAAGAGGACCGGGCCTGGCCGTGCCACTGACTGGCTCTGGACACTGTGGCTGCCTGTGAGGGCTGCCCTAGAGGACGCCTGGGGTTGTGCCTCGTGATGATGCCACTAGCGCGCCTCGGCTTGGCAAGACTCCCACGTCATGGCTGGCATCTGTCGGTTCTGGAGTCTGGATCCTTCCCTCTCCTCCGGGGAGGTGGGGGTCTGCAGAGGCCACCAGAGCACAAAGACGCTCTCCTTTTGCGCTCCGCGGTGCCCTGTTGGCCTGGTTTCCAGATCAGTGGCTTGAGCGGGAGACGGAAACCCCCACCCCGAGACGTGCAGTGTGGCCAGCGCGTGGGTCAGGGGCTGGAGGTGAATCCAGCGAGCTCTCTGCTATGTCCCCTGTCCCGTGTCTCCACAGGTAAAGCAAGCCCCAGTCCCTCCAAGTCGAGCAATTGTGTGGTTTGCTGAGCTGCAGGACCTGAGGTTGCCGACCTGCCCTGTGTGGTGCTATGCCGAGCCTGGGCCACACCCTGCAACTGTTTGCACTCCGGACCCCAGCTGGCCTCGGGGAGGGCCCCTGAGTCCCGAACCAGAGGACGGGAAGCATCTCAGGACGACCCCACGACCCCACGGTGCCTTGTTGATGCTGAGCTGTGCCTGCTCCCCTTTGTGCTGGCCCCTCCCCCACAGGCAGGCCCCAAGTGGGGTGAGGGCCATGTCTTCACACCTTCATGGGATGGGGTTTCTGGGGCAGCCCCTCCCTCTGGCTTCTCCTTCCCTAAGCTTCCTGGGGCTTCTGGTCCCCCCAGGAGGTTGGTGGAATAAAAGGGAAGAGGCCGGACTCAGTTCCAGCCTTGCTCCAGCCTCAGAACCCTAGGAAGGAGCTGCTGCTGTGGTCCTCCTGGCCCAGCCCTCAGACTGCTGGCTCCAGACTGGACACGCCACCCCCTCCGCCGCCGCCCGCCCCCGGCAGCAGACGCTGACCTTGCTGTGCCGAGGTCTCCCTCTTCCTCAGCCTGTGTGCTCCAGGCCTCCCTGGCCAACGCCAGCCCCTGTGGGTTCCTACAGTGCCTCTGCCTGGCCTGCTCCTCCCCTCAGACCACCTCGGTTTGCAATACCAAACAGGCAGAGGGCTTGGCCTAGAGAAGTTCTGGGCACGGGGTGGGGAGAGGCTGGGGCCCCTTCACCAGCCGGGGCTGCTCCGGGCACATTTCAGCCGAAGACCAGGCTCGGCCTCCTGGAAGAGTCGGACGGTGCTGAGGAGCTGTGTGGCTCCCCGGGGCTGGTCGGCCCGACTGCCGCGAGGCCGGGCCCAGGGGAGACCTTGCCGAGCTGCGGATCCCCCCGGGCCGGCCCGGCAGCCTCTCCAGCCTCCGACTCCAGCCCCCAACCTCTGTCCCCTTTCTTTCCCTCCCACTATCCTGGGACACCTGTGCTGTGGGAGGGGCACCCAGGCTGGGCCATGGGACGTGGGGCCACACGTGGCAGCCACCTGGGGGGAGGGGAAAGAAAGGGCCAGCCTGTCCCCAGGGCTCTCGTCCTGCGTCTGGAGCTGGCCTGCGGGGTGTGGAGGGAGTGCACCCTGGCCCGCCTGCCTGGGCTGTTGTGAGGATTAAACGCTCCTGGAGGTGTGCGCTGAGCACTGAGACCTGGCAGTGTTGTGCACCTGTGCTTGCTGGGGGGGAGGGGGGGCTGCCAGCGTCACAGCCCAAAGGTGTGAGACACCAGTGGGGAGAGAGGGTCCTCGGCCTGGGGCAGGAACAGCCTCTAAGTAACTGCCCAGGCTGCTTGTGCCTCCCAGGACAGGAGCAGGCCCACGGTCTGCCTTCCCCTCTGACCCCAAGCAGGCCGGGCCCTCCTGTCCCCTCCCCTGCCTTCTTGGCCGACCCCAGACTGGAAGCCCCACTGAGCCAATGGCCCACGGTGGGGATTATCTCGGTGTAGACGGGAGGGGAAGAGTGCTGGCCTTCAGGCAGGAGGCCTCCTGGGCAGGGCCCCTCCCCGGCCTCGCCATCCTCATCCCTACACAGGTGTGGCTAAGAGGACCCCGGGGCTCCCCTCTGGAGTGTCTGAGTCAGATTGCAGCCGGAAGGCTGTGCAGTCGCTGCCGATCCTGAGGTCGTACGGGCAGCTCGTGTCTGCAGTGCCGCCTCTTTCAGAGCCTCTCCCCCGTCATGGCTCCAGGGAACATCCGGCCTTCCCAGCGGGATGGCAGCTCGGGCGGATCGTGCCCTTGGTCCCTGTTCAGCAGCTTCCACAGGGCTCTCGGCGGCCCCACCGCACGCTGACACCAAGCAGCTGGCTCACTTTCCGGTGTTAACAGTGGGTGCAGCCCCGGGGGAGGGCTAGTGGCCCAGTGAGCTGAGACCCTTGGGGTTGCGGCTACCCCGGCTTCTGTGCCCGAGTGACGGGGGCCACAGGACACTGCCCAGGGCAGGGAGGTCGTCGCAGTCTCCCCTGTCAGCTGTCTCACCAGTGCTGAGTCCTCAAAGGTGCCCTTGAGTAGCCTCCGCTGACCCCACTCCCCTATGCCTGTATAGAACTTTCTAGAAAGGTTAGACCAAAAAAAAAAAAAAAAAGGCCTAGAGATATGGAAGAAACTGGCCAAGAGAGAGGAAGGGGTATCCTTTTCTCTCATACGGCCGTTCTTTCTTCCACTTACTGGGCACCTACTGTATGCCAGTCCCTATGCTAGATACTTTGGTCACATGTAGGTTTCAACTAAGAAAAAAGCAAAGAGCCCTGACCAAGTGGAGCGCCCCCATGTATTTGGGAAGCAGCTCATCGAGCTGAGCGTGAATTGCACAGGTGATACCCCGTGTTTCAGGTGAGGCACACAGCTTCCCCCGATGCAGACCGGGGACCCTCCGCGAGCTCAAACCCTCTGGGGAGGATGGTAGGGCGCAGAGCTGTAGATGTCAAAGGCCCCCAGGCCTCCATGTACTGAACGCCAGGGGCGGCCTCCGGGTGAGACGGCCGACAAGGTCCCCTGGAGAGGGGTTGGCGGAGTGTGCCTGGCTGCCTGCCCAGGCAGACGTCCCAGCATCCATTCCTCACTGCCGCGCCGTCCCCAGAACAGGTGTGCTTGCGAGCACACATCTGTCTCGCTCCACTCAGCTCCCTGTCAGTGCCCTCCCAATCTGTTCTCCTTCCTTCCTGTCCTGCACGGAAAACACCGCGGGACGTGCCTGTGTGTGCCCGGCAGTGCCCGTGCCCCCGGAAGCAGCGGGGGAGCCTCTGTGCCCCAGTCAGGCCAAGCAGGGACCTGCTCACTGGCCGCCGCCGTGTGAGCGAAGGCGGACAGAGCCCCTCCAGCAGCCGCTTAGCCCAGCCGTGCTCCATGGACGTGGCTCATCGCCTGGCTGTGTGCCACCCCCACCCCCCAGCCTCCCTACCCAAAGGAGCCTGCAGCTGTCACTGATCATCTGTGCCGATGTTCCAGAACAGGCCCCCACTGCTACCCGGGCTCTGTGCGCTGAGCCGGAACACGGCAGGGAGGGGCACAGCTTAGAGGACACGGGCAGGGCGGGGTGCGAGTGCAGGAGTGAGAGTCGGTGCCAGGTGGGTACGAAGCCCTCACAAGTGAACTTCTCAGGCCTGCTCCGCAAAGCTGCCAGCCTCCCAGCCATGGACAGCACACTCGAAGTCTGGCACCATCGGGACCCATTCTTCTCTGGGCTGCCGAGCCTGCGGCCTGCTCCGCCCGGCTCACCGTTGTAACTGCAGCACCTGTTTGTTAAGTGATCGAAGACCTGAAGGCCACACAAATACAGAAATTAAACCAGGCTGGGAGCGGGGCAGGCATTTGGTACAGTGGTTAAGTGTCCACCTGAGACTCCTGCAGTCCATAGTGCAGTGCCTGCTTCAAGTCCTGGCTCTGCTCCTGATCCAGCTTCTTGCTGATGTGCACCCTGGGAGGCAGCAAGTCACGGCCCACCCCAGTGGAGGACTGGATGGGAGTTCCTGGTTCCTGGCTTGGGCCTGGCCCAGCCCTGGCTGCTGCAGGCATTTGGAGGGTGGACAAGTAAATGGCAGATTCTCTCTCCCCCTCTTTGTCTCTTTGCCTTTCAAGTAAAATGAAAAGAAAAAGAAGAAAACCAGGCTAATAAACTGGGAGGCATCAGAGGTTCCCAAATTGATCATGACCATTTTAATCTTGTTCCCGACTTCTGACGCTGCACACAGAAGCCAAATGGGGTTGTGTCATCTGCTATTTAATTAAAATTCTCCTGCTCTAATCCTTTCTTCGAGGACAGTTGCTCTTTTTTCCCCCCCATTTATTTGAAAGGCAGAGCGACAGAAAGGGAGACAGAGAGAGATCTTCCATTTGCTGTTTCACTCCCCAGATGACCACGGCTGGGGCCGAAGCCAGCGGGCGCCATCTCGGTCTCCCACGTGGGCAGCAGAAGCCCAGGTATTTCTGCCATCTGCCGCCTGCCCCGGTGCATTCGCAGGGATCTGGATCAGAAGCGGAGCAGCCGGGTCTTGAATCGGTGTTCCAGTAGGGGATAGCAATGGCAGTGACTGGCAGCTGAACCTGCTGGACCACAATGTGTGCTTCCTTTCAGAAGGCTAACACAGGAAGGGGGCATGTCTGGGTGAGGGAAGTGGTCCAGAGCCACCCGACGAGTTACGGGGGGCCTGGGACCCGGAGCCCCCTCCCTGCACCGTGTGGCCTCTCCCAGGAGCAGGCGGCTGGAAACAGGTTTTCACCCAGGAAGCGGCCACAAGTGGGGGCATTGTCTGCGGCCACTTAAAAGTAGCTTCTGGAACAGATGTCCAGGGAAGCCAGCGCGGGCGTGGGTGCCTGGGGGAGAGGGAGAGAGAAGGCAGGAACAGGCGGTGCCCACGGCCCTCCGGGGCAAGGGCAGATCGCTGCCGAGCGCCGAGCGCCGAGCCGAGCCGTGAGCCTGGCGTCCCAGCTGCAGTTTCGATTCCCTGCTGGTCTCTGGAAAGGCAGCGCTGCCATGCTTGGACAGCTGCGTTCCTTTGTGCGTTCCGTGGGTACTTCCGGCTCCCAGCCTGGGGAGACTGGGCGAGTGAGGAAGGCAGAGAGGCTGCTGGGACATTAGCAGGTCTGGTGGTGGAGACAGGGCAGGCTTCAGAGCGGGGAGGCACTGCTGAATCCCAGCTCTGCCCCCGGACAGCTCGCGACTGGCCGGTGTCAACTGAGGACGCTCTTGGGACACTCTGCTAGGCGGGGGGAGGGACACAGGCAAGCACCTCGTGGGGAGAGGCTGTAGATGCTGTCAGCGTGGCGTCCCCGGCTGCTTCCTGCTTTGCTCCCTCACTGGTTTTCATGATGCGTGGTGGGCACTCAGGGCTAAAAGCGCCCTCACCTGTTGGGGCTGTTTGGGGAGTGAACTAACAGGAGAGCTCGCTCGCTCTCTCTCTCTCTCTCGCTCTCTCTCTCTCTCTCGTCCTCTGGGTAAATTAATTACTTAATTAAAATATAAGTAAATATGGAACAGGCATTGTGGCTCATATCTGGTGTCACAGCACCAATTCAAGCCCCAGCTGCTCTGCTTCTGATCCAGCTCCCTGCTAACGACCTGGGGAAGCAGCAGAGGACGGCTCAAGGACTTGGGCCCCTGCACCCACAGGGGAGACCTGGGCAGAGTTCCAGGCTCCAGACTTCAGCCCGACCCAGCCCTGTCCATTGCAGCCATGTGGGGAGTGAACAAGCAGATGGAAGATTTCTTTCCTTCTCTCTCTGTCTCTCTCTGCCACTCTGTCTTTCAAATAAATATTTTTAAAAACAGGTAAATAAATAAACCTTTGAAAAATGAACTATAGCTTAGAGAATCCCATGTATGTCAAATACAAAAAACCTGAACCTGAGGCGGGACTTCCTGAGAAGCCTGCCACGCCTGCACCAAGCCAGAGTCTCCTAGGCCAGCCCTGCCCCTTTGTGTAAACTCCACACCCACCCTCACAGGGCCAGCGACCCCGGCTGTCTCCCCTGCTGGCTGAGAGGGTGCACAGGAGGCCCTGAGAGCAGGCGCGGCAGCTCCTTGGCGGAGCCGCGCTGGAAGCTGCGCGGTGAGAGGCTGACACCTCGTGGCCGCCGCCTTCTCTCCAGGGCCAGACACAGGCACGCCGGGCTCTGCAGCCTGCGAGGGGTGTGGCCCAGTTCCCAGGGCGTTTGATGGACACGGAGATTCGAATCTCGTGTGATTCTCACGAATTGCAAAGTAGTACTCTTCTAACTCTTTTTCCCAATTACTCAAAAAACGTAAAAAGCATTCTTAACTCACAGCTGTGCCAAAACAGGCAGCAGGCTGGATTCAGCCCAAGCCCTGCCTTGCTCAGCTCTGGCCACCTGTCCTGCAGGGCTGAGCTCTCAACACCGACTCCACCCCGCCCCCTGTTCTGCCACGCCCCCTCCCCCAGGTTCCTGTGCTGCCCCTGGTTCTCGGCCAGCTCAGGCTTGCACTCCCATTCTGTGCTGAGGCACATACAGGAACCCGGAGTCTTTACCAACATTACTTAATATGTACTTTAAGGAAAAAAAGATTTCTCTTTATGTGAAAGGCAGCGTGAAACAGTGAGAAAGGGAGAGACAGAGGTCTTCCATCTGCTGGTTCACTCCCCCAGATGCTGCAACACCCAGGACTGGGCCAAGCCAACGCCAGGAGCCTGGAACTCTATCCAG